TCTCTCTCTCTCCCCCTCTCTCTCCCTCTGTAATAGCTTAATAAGGTAAACTCCAAAAACAGCTCCTGCCTTCTGAGAGGAGTTCTGGTGCCAGCTCTTAAGATAAAATGCTCTTTAATTCCATCTCCTTCCGGAAGAAAAGGGTATTCATTGAGTTTCAGGCGAAGACGGGGTGGCCAGACGGAAAGGTAGGGCAGGTGGTTAAAGATCCGGCCTGAAACGCTAACGAAAGATGAGAGACAACGGTTTGGGAGTCGCATGTAAGGAAGGAGAAGGCAACAGGTACGAACTGCCCACAGGGTCTGGCCAGCTGCATAGGCGTCCGTCCCGACCATAATCCTTTTTTGAAAGAGGTTTTATTATCTCTGTTTCCCCAATAAAGACACCAAAGCTCAGCAGTGTTAAATACTTGGTTCTAGGTCACGCGGCTGGAAGACCGAAATACCAGCGCCAGACCCGGCTCCGGCCCAAGTCAAGGCCTTTGCTGTGATTCTGTGAGGGAAGGACCGAGAGGGAGAGGGAGGGACAGCAGGAGGGAGAATGGAAGGGTGGAGGGAGGATTGAGCTCTTAGAGCTGCGACCCTGTTTGTGGCCTGGGCAAGAAGTTAGCCAGGGAGAGGCAGGAAGAGGCAGAACTGAACGGGGTTTCAGAAGCCGAGGAACAGAGAGCCTCAGGAACGCGAGTGGACGTCTTCCGAGAGTTCCTGAGGTGCGTGAGGTGTGGGGAAAGGCTGTCGGTCCCGGGAACAGTTTCGGCGGAGTGGTGGGGACCATTGTAAAGGTTTGAGGAGTTACAGGGCGTGGGATGGAAGCAGACAGAGGAGGATGGACGGATGGATGGATGGATGGACGGACAGACGGATGGATGGATGGGTAAGAGGGTGGACATTAAGACATGGGAGATGGAGTTTTTATTTTGAGATTTTTTATGAGTTTATTTAAGCCAAACTAACAAAATATGCCAGGGAGCAGGATCTCAAATGCTCCCTGGAATTTTTAAAAAATATATTTTTATTGATTTCAAAGAGGAAGGGAGAGGGAGAGAGAGACAGAAACTTCTGTGATTGGCTGCCTCCTGAATGCCCCACACTAGGGATCAAGCTCACAACCCGGCATGTGCCTTTGACCAGGAATCAAGCTGTGACCTCCTGGTTCATAGGTCGATGTTCAACCACTGAGCCACGTCAGCTGGGTTGGAATTGTTTTTTGTATTTGTTTTTAAGTTGGGGAGAGAGCATCCTATATAATAAAAGCCCAATATGCTAAGTGTTTGGTCGTCAGGTGACTGGTTGTTCAACCAATCAAAGTGTAATATGCTAATGATATGCTAAGGCCACTCAGCTGCTCGCTGTGACGTGCACTGGCCACCAGGGGCAGAGTCAACTGGTTGACCAGCCGCTATGACATACACTGACCACCAGGGGGCAGATGCTCTGACCAGTAGGTTAGCTTGCTGCTGGGGTCCGGCTGATCGGGGACTGAGCAAGATGGGCCGGACACGCCCTGGAGCCCTCCCGCAGTCCCTCCCTGGCCCGATGGAGGCGGGTTCTGAGGGAGTCCTGGCCTGCACCCTCTCGCAGAGGGACCAGGGTCGGGGATGGGCCTGTGGGAAGGGTTTGTACCCCGGATGTGTGCCTTGCTCTGGAAACTATTAAGGTAGCAGTTATTAAATTATATTGTACGGGTTCAGAATAGAATAGAGCCTAGATCTAGGTATATATTGCATGGTAAAAAGGGCATTTCAAATAATATTTAATAAATGGTATTAATAAAGTTTCCTATCTGGAAAAAAAAAGATTAAACCCTTATCCCACAAGGACATATTCCACATGTAAAAACAATCATATATATATATTTAATTTTGGCATTCAGTGGAGATACAGTGTATGGTTCAGAGCACACACAGGCTCTGGAATAAAACCCGCTGGCTTCGGAGCCTGCCGCTGCCTCTTACCGGCTGTGTGACCCTGGAGAAATGGCTTAGACTCTCTGTGCATTTGTTTCCTTTTCTGTAAAATGAAAACATCAGTCACCCCTGCCTTAGGGCTGCTGCGAGGCGCAACCGGTGCGGTACTTGCCCGCACAGTGCCGGCCGGTGCGCCCTCAATCCGAGTATCGGCACGTGCTCCGTCAGAACAGCGCGGCCAGGCCCTGAGCGCGCAGGGAACGGGCCTGGGGACATTAGGCGGAGGAGAGCAGCGTGCAGACCAGTGTCTGTGACACCCCAGTTGGGTTAGAACATAAACAGGCGAGCAGAGCGCTCCGGGCGCAGGGGTTATGAGCACAGGACAGCGCGAGGCCCAGACCAATGGTGGAGGAGCTGAATTATCACTTTAAAAAAAAGAATTTATTGGGGTTTCATTGGTTAATAAAACTACATAGGTTTGAGGGGTACAGCTCTGTAACACATCACCTGTGTATTGTGTTGTGTGGTCACCACCCCAAGTCAAGTCTCCTTCCATCACCATGTGTCCCCCCTTTACCCACTTCTACCTCCCCCCACCCCTTTCCCTCTGGTCATCACCATACTGTTGTCTGTGTCTATGAATTTCTTTTTTTTGGGGGGGTTTGCTTAATCCCTTCACCCAGCCCCAAACCCTCTTCCCTCTGACAGCTGTCAGTCTGTGCTCTGTGTCTGTGAGTCTGTTCCCATTTTGTCTGTTAGTATATTTTGTTCATTGAATTCCACCTATAAGTGAGATCATATGATGTTTAACGTTCTCTGACTGGGTCATTTCACGACAGATTTTGAAGACTCCATGCAAAAAAATTTTTTAAGAATGTAAATAGCGCTGAAACCGGTTTGGCTCAGTGGATAGAGCGTCGGCCTGCGGACTGAAAGGTCCCGGGTTCGATTCCGGTCAAGGGCATGTACCTGGGTTGCAGGCACATCCCCAGTGGGGAGTGTGCAGGAGGCAGCTGATCGATGTTTCTCTCTCATCGATGTTTCTAACTCTCTATCTCTCTCCCTTCCTCTCTGTAAAAAATCAATAAAATATATTAAAAAAAAAAGAATGTAAATAGCTTCTTAATGATTTTTTATACTGATTGCATGTTCAACAACATTTTGGATATATTAGAAATATTAGATATCCAAAATATTGTGATAAATAAGACATATTAATTTTGCTTTTTTACTTTTGAAAATTATGGCTATTAGATCATTTAAAACCACATGTGTGTCTTGCATTTATGTTCTTGTTGGATAACACGGGTCTGAGGAAAAGTACTGGTGTCATTTTCTTCCCTGATAAGGAATTTGACTTTTTACCTGGATGTCTTTTTTGCTTTAATACTTTTTAAAAAACATTTATTTCCTTTTATTTTTGTATTGGTTTTGAGAGAGAGAGAGAAACTGATCCATTGCCTCCCGCAATGTGCCCGGACCAGGGATGGTACCCGTAACCTGAGTACGTGCCCTGACCGGGAATCGAACCTGCCACCTTTCGCCATATTGGAGGACGCCCAACCACCTGAGCACTCCCGCCGGGCACTGGGGCAAGTTCCTAGAGGGGTCCATTCCCAAGAAAGGAGAAAGCCGAATGTTGATGGATTTCTTTTTCCTTTTGGCTGGTGGGTATTCTTTGAATACCAGGGGAGATCAGCTTTGTAAAGGAATGCGGCGTGGACTCTTCTACTGAAATGAAAAATTCTCCTTTCATCTGTGGATTATCGACCCTCATTGTGGTCTTTGTCTATTTGGGCTCTTGATTTTAGATGCAAAGCAAAACTACAGTTAGCTCTACGCTATGTTCTTGATCATTTCTTTTCTTTTAATATTATCCCCAAAGGGGGGGCATTTCCAATAGAACCCTGGCACCTTCTCTAAGCCCTTGCCCCCCCCCGCCCCCCCAAGGCCATTGGTGCTCTGCTCTTGCTCGGAGCCTGTAAGCTGATGATCTGTGCGTGTCCCCGTCCCCATCCCTCACCTGACCGCTCCCAGGTCCTGGCACCTCGGTGTGTTCCACGCTGAACTCAGCCTGCTCCCCACCATTCCTTATTCATGATTTGGGCAAGCCACCCATCATCGTAAACTCTTCACTTTGCTAAGTTCACCTCATGTATAATAAATATATGATTTCTCCATAAATACGTAACATATAGAAAATATATTTCACTAAGGGTCAGCTTTAAATGGCTTGATGATTTGAGATGGCTGCTTCTACTCAAGGCACCTCCCCTCGCTATAAATTATGCATTTGGAAAATAGGGCCCGTAAGTGCTGGCCATCAATAATTGATCATCAAGCTTTCCTAAATGATGGCTTGCCCAGTGGCATCCCGGCAGATGGCTGCTCTCTGTGGCTTTATGTTTGGTTGGGGAACTGTCTAGCGTTTGCTTTGATTCGGGCTGCGATGGCTCTCGAAGAATCTTTCCTTGTTTGTTGTTTAATTAAAGAATCACCTGGCCTGGCCGGTGTAGCTCAGTGGTTGAGCGTCAGCCTGTGACCCAGGAGGTCACTGCTTGATTCCCAGTCAGGGCACATGCCTGGGTTGCTGGCTCGATCTCCAGTAGGGGGCGTGCAGGAGGCAGCCGATCAATGATTCTCATCATTGATGTTTCTACCTCTCCCTCTCCCTTCTTCTCTGAAATCAATAAAAACATATTTTTTAAAAAAGATTCCAAAATGCATAGATGACAGAGAATAACCACTCGAGTTTAAGGGGGAAAAATCAGGAACAAAATGCACACACGTGTTCACTGATGGGCGTCGCGGGGCCTTCTGGTGTGGGGCTGAGGGCAGTGAGGACGGGTCCTGGGGCCATCCGGTCAGGATGCTGGAAGGAGAGCGGTGATCTGTGCTGTGTTTGGTGGCATGGCTTCTCGCTGCTACGGTTTTGCTTCTCTGCCTCCCAGGACCCCCGCCGTGGTCTCGAGTCAAGAGGAGGACGCTGTCCTGGGCGTGGCAGTGGCTCGGGTGATGGTGGGGGGCCCACGTCTCCGGCGCCTGCCCCGCCCAGTCGGCCGGGTGTCATTGGCTCTCGTGTCTCCCTCTCCAGGAAGCTACTTTGCCAGCCACTTCATCATGGGAGGAGAGAAGTTCGACTCGGCCCACCCCGAAGGCTACCTGTTTGGAGAGAACAGCGACCTGAACTTCCTGGGGAACAGGCCCGTGGCGGTATGGCTCACCGTGTGCTGCGCGAGGGGGTGAGGCCGCTCCCTGCCGGGCCGGTCCCGTGTCTGTGGCTTGGTCTGAGTTGAGGGGGTCCCGGGAGGCAGGTGGGGGGCTCCTGGGAGGCAGGTGGGGGGTCCTGGGAGGCAGGTAGGGGGTCCTGGGAGGCAGGTGGGGATCCTGGGAGGCAGGTAGGGGGTCCTGGGAGGCAGGTGGGGGGTCCCGGGAGGCAGGCGGGGGTCCCAGGAGGCAGGTGGGGCCCTGGGAGGCAGGCGGGGTCCCGGGAGGCAGGCAGGGGGTCCCGGGAGGCAGGTGGGGGTCCTGGGAGGCAGAGGGCACCTCCTCTGGCAGAGCTGGGTCGGTGGCACTAGGAGCTGAGCCGTGCCAAGGCCACGGGCGTCTGCCCGAGGGTGAGGCCGGCTCCCAGAAGCCAGGTCTCCACGGGGTTCAGACTCGGCCTCGGTGCCGCTCCGCCGACAGCCCTGGCCCAGCGCCAGCTCGAGCTCCTGCCTGTCCTTCCCTCTTCAGCGCGCTTATCGCCATAGAAACGTTTACTGCCCCGACTCGCCCCGTGTATCACCTGCCTGCCCTTACAGCGGTTCTCAACCCTCCTAACGCCGCGACCCTTTAATACAGTTCCTCACGTTGTGGTGACCCCCAATTTCATTGTTACAAATTGGACATAGTTAAAGCATAGTGATGAATCACAAAAGCAATATGTAATTATAGATGTGTTTTCCGATGGTCTTAGGCGACCCCTGTGAAAGGGTCGTTTGACCCCCAAAGGGATCTCGACCCACAGGTTGAGAACCACTGCTTTAGGAGGTGAGTCTGGGGCCAGGACTACCCTCACGGTCGTGTCGCGGCACCAGAACGAAGCCTGCGCGTAGCGATAGCCCCTAACACACGTTTCGTGAATGAATGACGGAGACAGTGCCCTCAGGGTCCGAGTTGACGTGAGGCTCCGTCTGTCTCAGTCCCTTCGGCTCATCCATCATTGTCTGGAGGGCTCCCTGCACCCAGCAGGAGGCTTTGGAATAGCAGCTGCCATGGGCTGCGGAAGGTCCTGGATTCCGGACATTATTTCTATCTTCATAAAGGCCCACCCGTCAGCGGGGCTAGCGTCAGTCCCATTCTGTGAGCGAGAGAACTGAGGTTCCGAGAGGTGAAGGATAATCGCGGTGCTGACGAAGGGCTGTTCTAAGTGTTTCCCATAAAATTCTCCCAAAGTCACATGACCAGGCCGCCAGGCCACCGAGCAGCAGCCTTTCTCGCCACGCCTTCCGTCGCCCCCATCCCCTGCCTCCCTCCAGAACCCCCCGGGCAGCGGGGCAGGCAAAACACAGGAGCAGGAGATGTTTAAACAGCAGCGAAGGCCCGAAGTGAAGGCTTCTGGGAGCGGAGCAGGCGCGGGCGTTGCCTCAGGGCTGGTGCTGAGAGGAGGGGGCTGGTGGGCGGGCGGTCAGCGAGCCTTCGAGAACGGCTGGGTTGTCCGCGAGGGTGGGGAAGGGCTTGCCAGGAGCGAGGCGCGCGAGCAGGCCAGAGCACACATTTACCCAGCGGCTGCTGTGTGCCAGGTCTGTGGTGGGCGCGGGGGGCAAGGCTGACGTGCGCATGGCTTGCTCCTCCCTGGCACAAACAAGGACACCAGGCGGCGGAGTGGGCATCCCCTGGTGGACATACAATTGGCAAAGTCGGTGGGGCTCCACTCGCCAGCGGTTTCTGTCTCCTTCCTGTCGGCCCCGGGGTGGGCCGATGATTCACAGGCAGGTGCAGCCCTGGAGAAGTTTTATTTTTCTTCTTTTAAAAAAATATATTTCTTTATTGATTTCAGAGAGGGAGGGAGAGGGAGGGAGAGATAGAAACATCCATGATGAGAGAGCATCATGGATCACTGCCTCCTGCACGCCCCCTACTGGGGATCGGGCCCACAACCTGGGCATGTGCCCTTGGCCGAGATCAAGCCTGGGACCCTTCAGTCTGCAGGCCGACACTCTGTCCACTGAGCCAGACCAGCCAGGGCGAAGTTTTATTTTTCATGAAGATTAATCTGGTGATGGTCCTCCATCTTGAGCTGTAACTAAAAAACATTTTTGTTGGTGGCGGCTCTATTTCCTTCCTTTTTATCTGGGGTTGACCCTTCTTACAGGCCTTTGGCCAGCAGTGGCTCAGCGGTATTTTCAAAATACCAGGTCCTGCTTGGCCAGTGCGGCTCGGTGGTTGAGCGTCAAACCAGGAACCAAGAGGTCACTGGTTCGATTCCCAGTCAGGGCACCTTCCCTGGGTTTTGGGCTCGATCCCTTGAGGGGGGCGTGCAGGAGGCAGCCGGTTGCTGATGCTGCTCTCTCACTGGTTTCTATCTCTCTCTCCCTCTCCCTTCCTCTCTCTCTAAAAATCAATAAAACATAAAAAAAAAAAAACCCAACTCCTCTGGCTTCAAGTTAAGTTCTGCCGGCGAAGCCTAGTGGGACGTCCGCTCTGCGTTTGCTGCCGCTGCTCAGCCGGTCGGTCGGGTCGAGGAGAGAGAGCGCTCTCTGTTCTGGCCGCGCAGGCACGGCGTTTCCTATGGGGAGTGCCCTGTGCATCCCTGTCTCCCTTCCTTCTTGCTTCTCTCTGGTGTCAGAACAGTTTTTGTTGGTTGGTTGTTTTTTTTACATTTTCGATCTTTTTGGGCATCCAGATGATTTTACAGCAAGTCAGTGCTCGGTTGGGTTCGGGTTGGGGCTGGCGCTGGCTGACAACTTCCCCCCAGTTCCCAGCTGAGCGTCCACCCCTGCCTGAGCCTGCGGGTGACTGGCGAGGCGCCTTGACCTTAAGTCCGAGTCTTCTTCCCCACGGAGCACCCCGTGGGCCTCTCCGCGGTGGTTCTCACGTAGCAATCATCACATGTGCCTCACGGTGTGCGGAGCAAGTGTTTTTCTCAAAAGACATCAAAGTTTTATGTGAGGAAAGCAAGTCAGAAACTCGTCGTTGCCAAACAGTCAGCAGGATGTAAAGTGCAGCTCAGGGAATAGAGTCGATAATGTTATAATAACCTCCCGGCAGCGGGGCTCCGTGGCTGAGCATCGACCTGTGAGCCAGAAGGTCACGGTTCGATGCCCCGTCAGGGCACAGGCCCGGGTTGCGGGCTCCATCCCCAGTGGGGGGCGTGCAGGAGGCAGCCGATCAGTGATTCGCTCTCGTCATTGATCTTTCTATCTCTCCTTTCCTCTCTGAAATCAGTTTTTAAAAATGTAATAACTATGCCAGGTGGGGAAATATCGGGGCAGGGGAGGGGGGAGAGGGGGCAACACTTTGTAAAGTATACGATTGTCTAGCCCAG